AACTGCTGCCGTGAAGAAAACCCGGTCACATACAACCTTGAAGTGACAAACACGGCTATCCTCGGGCTTGTCCAGCCGTGTGACGGGACCACGCCCCCCGCCAGTCTCCTTCAGCAGGTTAATTTGCAATGTGACACGGATTGGGCTCTCCAAGTTCACTCACAGCCTGACTGCTTGGATTATGGGCGGCTTTCGGTCAATTTTTGCCAGATTGAATCCTGTCCGAGACGGCAAGTATTGCTCTACAGTGTTTCAAGATAAACAAGGCTTACTGAGTCCAAGAAATAAGCAAAGGAACTCGAGATGTGCTCACGAAGGTTAGTAAAAGGAACGGTCTGCCTCCGTTGAAAGCCCTAGGAAGAGGCCATTAACCGGTATAACATCTGGCGATAAGACTCCGCTATCTGGAGCTAGTGTTTCTCAAACTTTCTTCCCACAACTCCCTACAGACCGATGCTAATCTTTCACGGTGCCCTTTATCACTCCCGGGGCAAGGAAGGGAAACCAGCCACCTCTTTCTTCTGAGAAAGTACAGAAGGAACAAAACAGTACACCATCTTCAGCCCAGGACAGCTAAGAACCAAGACGAATAAAAGGTGTCAGGTTAGCTCCATGCTCTGGGCATAAAAATGGACTCAAAAGCGCAGGATGTGTGCTTTTTAAAAAAAATCGAATCATTAATTAAAAAAAAAAAAAAAAAAAAAAACCAACACACCACTAAATAGCACCAAAACTCTCCCGGCAAGAACAGGTAAAGGGTAGCCAAGAAATGTCTGCAACAGAAAAGTAACAAAGAGGCACTTGTCTACCGGATATTAAAATATTATTCAACCTCCAATCACTTCCATGGGTGGTACTGGCATGAGAACAGACAGAAGGGTCAATGGGACAAAGTAGGAAGTCCGAAAACAGAGCCAGGAATTCCGAGAATGATGAAGATGGCGTTGTGACCGGTAGGGAAATGGGGACTCTTTCAAGAGAGGCTGCTGAGACAATACACTAGGTGGGGAAAATATGAGGGGGAGACATTCCTACCCCTTCTAGAACTGGGGGAAAAAAAAAAGTTACTTAAAAAAAATCTCTCCTGGGCATAAAGTTTCTGAGCTTATAGGGGGCGGGGAACCCTCCAATCAAAAAGGAAAAGACTGAACTCCATGAAGATTTAACTTCTGTATATCAAACCACATAATCAAAAGAGAGAAAAATATGGGGGAAATATGAATTGCAGCTCCTAACGAGAGGCACGAGGGACCCAGGGCTCTGATGATCTGTCACTAACCAGCTTAATCAATTACTATGGAGGAATCATGGTATCATTTTGAAGTGCAATTACCTAGAATACAAGTACTTTGCGGATGAGTCAAAACAAATCGTTTCATTTATTTGTAGAACTTGTCCAGCGACCCAGCACCTTCAAGGAATCCTGCTCTGAGATCACTCCAGAGCTCCAACGCTTACCTCAATTTCGTCTCAATTTCTTTTTACTTTCATTACAGGAATGAAGCTAAGGGTACCTCCATCAGTGTGTCTAAAAGCTTTCGTAGAGCTCCTCCTGTGCAAAACCATCTCTCTGCGGACACGCCTCCTCCCACTAAATCTATTCTCCTTCTCCTCTTCCCCATTTCAGTAAACGACAGACACAACCACTCTCCCTGCCTTTCAAGGCAAAGTCCTAGAAGTCACAGCTAATTCCTCTTAGCTGACTCCTCACAGGCATTCCATCAGGACATCTCTAACTCAGCACATCTCTAACGCAGCACATCTCTAACTCGGGCTCCATCCACCACAGTTCCCGCGATCAGTCACCTCTACCTCCACTACTGCCACATTCGCCCCAGCCACCCCGACGCTTCCCTACAACCCGCCTCCGGCACAACTAGGCACAAAGAACTTCTCAGGGTGTAACGCAATCGCCTCCCTTTCCTGCCTCAACGCTCGGTGCGGGCTTTCTAATTCACTCGGAATGAAATTCCACGAGAGGGAACACTATCAGGCCTGGACGCTGTCAGGCCTCCGTCCTCTTTCCTTCTAGGCTCCTCCCCAAGCTGGTTCCTGCCTTATAATTTACCAGCTCTTCCCTCTGACTTGCATGTCAATGATATTCACAGCTGGTTCCTCATTACCAGATCTCAGCGCAAACACCACATTCTCTGAGGTCTTCCCCAACCACCTGAAAGAAGACACCACCCCACCCTGAGCTCACCCTGTTCTATTTTCTGCACAGTACCCATCACTAACGAGCAGGAACCCTCTTTTTAGCGTCCGTCCCTCCCACCGTAACAGCTGCTGCTCTATGACAACCAGCATGTCCAGTCTGTGGCCCCAACACTCAGAGAGAGTCTGGATCCACGGGAGCCATGCATGTCCCCGCTGGGCAAAGGCACAAACCCTAAACGTATGTATCTGAACATTTTGCCAAATCAGGATCGCTCCTGCAGCTTTAGCGGCTATCTGTTCAGGGCCTATGAAAGAAGTCAGCCCTGGGGGGACCCTGATCAGCTAGGCTTGGAGTTTTGTTTCTGCCTATTTTAAAAAATGGCTTTTGCCCTTGCTGTCTGCGGTCAGTGCATTGCTAATGTCTCTTGGTGGCCCCTTTCCCTACATCAAGCACGTGACAGGTCTGAAAAGTAAAAGTCTGTAGCGAAGGGGCTGTCCCGTCATCAAATGCACCAGCTTCAGAGCAGCAGCCGTATCTCCTGAAAAGTTTCAGAGACTATTGAAAATTCCTCCCTGGCCCTCAGACCTACATTCTGACATTTTCAATACCCTAACATAAAAGGACCCCGGAGCGCCAGGATCTAGCTAGAGTTCTACCTTGTGCTAGAAGATTCAAGCGGACTTTTATACCGAACCGTGCATGACATTTCCAATTTAAGAGCTGAGCGTGGACTTCTGGCCCAGGCTGCGAAGCAAAGTCATAATCATAAGTTACACCCTATAACCTCCATCCCAACTCAGGCCTGCCTCAGAAGTTCCTTAAGACTAAAATCATCTTGTGCCTTCTCTCTGCAGCCAGTCTAAACACAGGGTTCACAGCGGGGAAGCAGAGGACCTTACCAGGCGGCGTAGGTCCACCTAGAAGCAGAGGACCTTACCCAGGCGGGGTAGGTAACTGTAACTTCTTAAGATCCCAGAGCTAAAAGAAAAGGTGTATGTAGGAGAGCTGACAGGATGGCTAGATGGGATACACTGTTTTCCATGTAAGGGTTTTCCTTTATCAGAAAAGCAGGGTTGTCAGGAAGAGGGAAGATAGGATACACTGTTTCTGGTAAGAGCTTTCCTTTATCAGAAAGGCTGGTGTCACAGAGGGGAGAGAGGGGAACCACTATCCCCCAACTGCCCTAAAGAAAACAAACAATGGGATAAAATACACATCTCAAAGAGATGAGGCAGGGGATGTGGCGGGCGGGAGGCCCAAAGAGGTCAAGAGTGGGCTTTGGGAGGGTTCATCCCCAAGTGTAGAACACTCCGTTCAGTCTGCGTTGCATTTCCTGAGTATTGCTGGCATAACAGAACCCCACTGGTCTGCACACACTGATTCTGCATCCATGAAAAAGTATTTGTTTGCGGGGCAAGGAGTGACACCATCTGCCATTTGAACAAACTACTTTGATAATTATCCTCACTCTTGTACATTCACGGGGCCAGCCGCCAAATTGCGGTCATGTGGGTTTACTCTGCAAACCATGCTGTAAAGAATTTATGAAGCTCATCCTCAGTCTCTGATGTGGCTATTTCTCTTGTGACAAAACACAATTCACATAAAATTCTGGGGGAAAAAAACCCTTGACCGGTACGTTCTCAAACAGAGACTTTATTCTAAGTTTACACTACGGGCATTCGAAGCTTTTCGGTCTCTTGGGACCCTTCTGGCCAGAACCTGAGCTCAGAATTCAGACGAGATCCTAGTGGAAACACACAGGACAGAGGCAATGAAGGGCAGACATGCTACTGCTCTATTATCCTTTTTCAATCCTCTACATCCTCTCTTAGGGGAACTGGGGCCCATAGAAGCTTTTCCCCTCACTGACATCTAATGCCTAAAAAATTCAGACCAGGGTTAGATTTAAGAGCTGAGGGCCTAAAGGTATGGGCTGTAAATTAAGAACCAACAGCCACCAGCTTGGCCTTGCTCAGCACTGGGTGCAGGAAAAGGCCGTTCCCAGACCTCCCTGCACCGGTTTGTTCTTCGGCATTTCGGTACTTCACCCACGAGAGGTTTCCATTAAACCCCTTCATGAATCTACACCCCTCTACCTCAAATTCGCTCCAACACAAAGCTGCCATTCCCAAATCATCTCCCTTCGAAAGACGACTTTGGCTAATCCCTTTGCTAATCCTGAACATGATTCCAGCCACTTTTATGACTCATCTGGCAAAAGGGCCCAGACGCTGGATAACATCACTAAACTGGGCTAGTTAACACCAAATCCACCGTGGGCCAGGCACTGCTTTTCCCAAAGGTTCTCCTTCCATTTACTGAACAGACTGGTGGGCTCAGCGCGCAGGGCACACCCCTTTCACGAACAGGAGTGCTGCCAACAGTGAAATCCACACGCATGCTATTGGAAGGGGTCTAACCAGGTTAATTCACACGGGCTCTAGTCCTGCAAGGGCCACCGGGCGGATTTCAGAGAATCGAGTCATCACCACCATTGTCACAGGTAGGAGTTTTTCGAACAACCTAATGAGGGAGATGCGTTCGGTCAGGCCCGCCTAACAAAGGCGATTTGACCGTGGAAAGCTTAAGTGTCTTTCAGGGTGATAACCACACTCAGAGGGCACACCCTGGTCCACCTCACCCCAAAGCCCTCGCTCTTGAGCGTGGCGCTCAGCATCCTGCCCCTGACCTCTGCTGTCAGTGCGTGGCACCGCCCGAGGGGCACCCCGGGAGCCTGGGTTCTGGGGAATCAGGCAAAGGCACGAGCGGAGCCTTGCTTGGGAGAATGTGCAGGGCCGTCCGCCAGGATGCTGGATGCAAGAGGCGTCCGCGGGCTCACCTGTAGACGGCCACGGCTCGGGTCTGCAGGTATTTCTGGGCGGTCATGACTCCCACGAAGAGAAAGTTCTTGTCCCGCGGGCCGCCATCGGGGGCCGTGCCGTGCGGCCAGGGCTGCACCCCGCGCGCATCGCCACGCGCCCCACCGGCCTGGGAAGCCGCCGCCGCCTGCCCGGGCCGGCAGCCCTCGGGGCTGGCACGGCGCCGCGGGCCCGCTCGCTTCAGCTCGGAGGCGCGGGGCAGGACGAGCCGCGACGCCAGCACGAAACCCAGCACGAGTCCAAGCAGCACGCTGAGCCAGGCGCGCCGGCCGCGCGCGGCCATATCCGCGCCGCTCCGCCCGCCGGGCCGCCGCCGCCGCCGCCGCCGCAGGCTCCGCGCGCCCTCAGCTTGCCGCCCCCGCCCGCGGAGGCCAGCCGGCCCTAGCGCCGCGAGGCTCGGCCCCGGCAGCGCCGCGGCCGCCGCGGGCCCGCCGCGCCCATCGCGGCCCCCGAGCCGCCCGCAGGCCCCGCGCCGGCGCTTTGTTCCGCACGCCCACCGCCGCGGCCTGCGCCTTTAAGAGGGGACCATGTCCGGCGCGCGCCGGCTGCGGCTCGGGCGCAAGGCGGCGGCGGCGGCGGCAGCGGCGGCGGCGGCTCCTCCCGCTCGCGCGCGGGGGCGCGGGGCCAGAGCAACGGTGATTGCAGTGGCAGCCGAGTCCGGGCCCCTGTCCTGCCCCGCCCGCGTCCCCCGGCCGGCTCGGCTCCGATCGCGCTGCGCCCGTCCCCGTCCTCTTCGTGACCGGCGCCGCCGCTGCAGCTGCACATCCTCCGGCTTAGCTCGCCATTGCAACAGGAGCCCCTCACGTCACGCACGGCGCGTTTATGAAGCGGCCCGGCGGCGAGGAGTCGTGGCCCCTCTCGGGATCCGTCCGCGCCGTCCGATTGGTGCAAAAGTGAATGGGGGGCGGTTCACGTGGCCAAAGTTTGACCAAAAAAAAAAAAAAACCCCTCCCGGCGCGCGCGGCGCCCCACCCGCGCGGTCTGCAGCGGTTTCGCCGGGCGGAGGGGGCGTGGGGCCGGGCTCGGCGCCCGTGGGGACCCGGGCCCGGGGTGCCCGAGCAGCCCGTTATCCGCCCGGCGACCACGCCCCCGGCCGCCGCACCACGGCTCCGCTGGCGGCCCCGTTCTGGCCGGTTGCGTGGCTAACGTGACTCCGAGGAGGGATTTTTGAAGAAGGGGCTCCTTGGTCCCCAGACTCTCGCGGAACGGCTGGTTAGTCCTGCCGAGACTGTCCTCAGATAAACCCGCGGTCCACGCCCGGCCCTGCAGCCGGGCGGACCTCACCGTCGCTGCCCCGCGTCGTCAGGTTCACACTGTCCCTTTGTTCGCGCCGTCCTGCGGGCAGGACGAGCGCGTATAGAATAAACAGCCCCGGAGCCGTTCGAGACGCGCATGCTTGGAGAGTGAACCGTGAATCCAGCGACCTTGTTCCCGGTCGCTAGCCTCTCAGCTTAAAAAAAGGCAGCGTGTTGAGTGCCCAAGCGCCTAACAGTACGAGCATTTAAAGGATGTGGAAGAAGTGGTAGGTGATGTTCATACTTGGGTGTCAAGTCCCGCTTTTATTTCCATTCTAGGTGGGCAGATGGCCGGCTAGTGCCCGAGCCTGAATCTTTGTCAACCTTGTAACACGGCCCATCCAGAAATGTAACGTGGAGTTCTAAAGATAGGTTTTGAATTTTAAATTTAATACATTTCTTCTATTTAAAAAACAAAAAACAAACAGCCAAGGCAACAAAAAGCTGTATAGAGAAAATACAGGATGGGGCAAAAGTAGGCTTACAGTTGTAAGTACATGAAACAAACAGTTTATTCTTGTATTATTATTTCATTATTGTATTCCCTTCCATAGGATCAACTGTAAGTCTACTTCTTCCTCACCCTCTATTAGTCTTGTTACGTAGTTGCTCCTATATTGGGGTTTTCTAATGAAACTTCTGGGGACCAAAATATTTTCCTGGGACGCAGAGCCAGAGAATAAGTGTGCTCCGGAGCACCCTCGGATCTTTCTTCATTGTCAATAGAATCAAATGATTGCAATATGACGCAATTTGAAGTGCTCAGTTTGAAAGATATACCATCTCTGTAGCTCAATGGCGCTCACTCTTGTTTATCATTCTTGGGAGAGTACCACTTTCTTTGACAATTGTGATTTATGTCAAAAATAGTTCATCACCACCTCTGCACAGACACCCTCCCTAAGAGATGACTCACGCCTAAAATTATTCATTATGCACTGAATACAGGATCCCAGCAGTGGTCATGGGAAAATACAGAACACACAAAACCGTGATTTAGAGGCTCAAAAACCACCCAGATGGGTTTTTAGTAAGACCATAAGCCACAAATGCTGACCAGTCGCCAGATCCCCCAAACTCAGCAACGCCCCCCATAATTCACAATGATTTCCATAAAGCATATATATCTGACAAGATAAAGATGTTCAATTTTGGGACACATTTCATGATTTCCATATTCTAACCTGCTTTCAGCTTCTAGTTCTTCTTCCAGATTAAAACGCAATGAAAAGTTCACAAGCATGCGGTGGGAGTTACCATTTTGAGGGGACAGACTGTTTTGTCCCCCTCAGTTTCCCGGCTCCTGGCTGCCCCTCAGTTCCTAGGGTCAACAGTCTCACCTACCTCACCTGCAGACCTACTGGGAGTGTTTCCCTCGTAGCGCAGAGAGGATGGAGCCAGGAGGTTAGAGCACCCAGCCTCTGGGATGAGGAGAGAGGCAGAGGAATCGCAGGCCAGGGAAGGGTGGGGTCTGTCCAAGTGGCCAGGGGCACCGGGAGCCTTCGCTCTTGGGCAAGGCCAGAGTGGCCTGAGGGCGCGAGGGGGAACCGCCAGCACAGCTGGAAGCAGCAGCTGGATGGTCCAGTGCAGGCGGGTCTCCTAGGAGGGGTCCAAAAGCATCCCTGCAGGGGCCCCCGAGGAGGCCAAGATCAGGAGGCAGGGCTGTCCTGGGGGCATGTCATAGCCGGAGGCGAATGCCTGGACCGGAAGGATTCAGTGACAGCCAGAGTCCCACAGGGACAGTTAGGTCCAGTTTGGAGACCAGCGCCACCACCCCCTGCACAGCCAACACTGGCCAGGATCTGGGCAGGAGGCCGATCTCCCAGCCTTGCGACGCACACACACAGGCAGCTGCCCACAGCCTCCAGGAGGCCGGGGGCTGCTACTCACTGCCTGCCCTGCCCTCTCCTTAATCTATGTTTAAGGGCAGGAAAAGGTTGATCAGATTTCCTAGGCATGTCATCTCAGTAAGCTGAGGAAAGAAATTTTTCTCCATTTAGCTGTAGTAGGAGCTCTCTCTGTTAAGTTGGGGGCCTCATAGACCATTTTTCCCTTTTCAAAAAGGACTGTCCTGAACCATGATCTGATAGGCTTATAAGGGCAACCCCAAACTCCAGTGATTCAATGACGAGGACTCCTAACGGCACACGCCCTGCCCAAGAGGGGTCCCAGGCTGGACCAGGGACACGGAGCCTGGGTCTGGTCTTCCTTCTACCCCAAGGAGGTCGCATCTGGACAGGCTGCACGCTCCCCCAAGTCTTCTGTTTCCCCGTTACCTCCCGTTCAGAGTGCCTCGGCGCGTCTACCCTGATGTTGAGAAATCGGTTCAAAAAACACGTCATCTGACATCCTGTTTTCATGCCTGTGATTCTCCATGATGTGTAATTAAAACTCATCTCCGCCAACATTACTGCACTGTCTTACCCACTGCAATCTGTTCCCGCACGTGTTCCATTTCTTTCTGTGGCTGATCCATTGGGCGCCTGTTACAGGTATAACCTTTCATGTAATACGCAGCAATGTCTTGGAGCACCTCGTTACTGCCTCAACGGCAGCAAGCCATGAACAAACCAACAGAGTTCCCTGTAAGGACTTCTTTGAAGATGGGCGGCCTGCAAAAAGGGGTAATAATTAAAAAAAAAAAAACAACCTTTAGCTAAACCTCTTTTAAGAAACAGCGAAGGCTGAGGCAGGAGTTAGAAGAAGCCATCCTTTCTGAAAGCCCTGCTCATTGCCTTTGGAGAAGAAAATCCATAATGACCATTTTAGTAATATTACCATTTAACCTCTATTAACCTAATAGAACGTTGATTTATTATTAATGCTGCTATTTAAGGTCCTTATTAGCTAATTAATTTCGCTCGATATTTCCTTCCGTGTGCAGCATTTCCAGCCAGATGCAGGAAAGGGCAAGTGATTACGGCTTATGTTCTGGCCCCGGACACTAGTGGATCTGACACTGGTTGTTCTAGAATGTTCTTCCAGTTTCCTTCGTCTGCTTCCCAGCTCTGCCCATTCTTTCTGTCTGATAGTGATTTGGGGTGTGTGTGTTTCCCATGGAAGTGTGTGTATGTGGGTGAAGAGAGAGAGAAGAGAAGAAATTTGGCACCACTCCAGGCCTGGGCCAAAAGGATGTAATCTTACTTAGGATTAGTAACAAGGGAACAAGGGAACCCTGGCTGCCGCCCCACAGAACTTTCGGGAAACAGCCTGAATGTTCCCGGGGAGATAACCTCACTGCAGAGTCCAGCGACAGGCAGCTTCTAGTCTAAGACTTAATCCCTGTGGCGTAGACCAGTTTGCCTTTCCCATCTGGTGCCAAGAAATGCCATGAATCTTTAGAGCGGTGCCAGAATTTCCACAGCTGGAGAGTTTGCACAAAGACAAAGCTCCCATTCCACAGGAAGGACCAGGGAGGCGCCCCGCTCAGAGCCCAGGCGCTGGTCGGCTGGTCAGCAGCCCCGATACCACCTGAGGGCTTCCCACAGCGGCGGTCAGGCCTCGATGCCCCGTGGAACCGCTCCAGGTGTGCAGCTCAAACTCTCTCTGTTTGACTCGCGGCCTCATGAAATTGCTCGAGGAGGAAAAAAAAAGTCAAGCTGCAGAAGAAGGTTTAGGCTATGAATCAGGGCAGCAGAAATTCAGAGCCACAAACACACGAGGTAGAATGAAAGAAGCGAACAGTATGCCATAAAACCCGCTAAGTTACACCCGCGCCTCCCCCAGCCCCGCCCCATCCTGGATCTTCTGCAAACCCTGTGATTGTGCTATGGTGACCATGTGGGGTATAAATGCCACTTTACAGCCTCCAAGGCCACTTTACAGCAGCCTGCAGGCGGTGGCGTATAGCATCCCAAGGTCCCGTGGGGCACCGCCCAAATGTTTGATTTGAATTTTATTCGCCAGATATTTCTATTTGCAGGTTGTCCTAAAAGCCTTCTCCCTCTCGCTCCCTCACCTCTCTCGCTCTGCCCCCCACCCCACAGAC